GCCATCACATGGGATCTTTTAATCCATGAATTTGTCTTTATTATAATATTAACTTTCCTTTGATACCAACCAGTTGATAACTATCACGTGCTATCTTCCGCATACCATTATGCGACGTATTGTATCGATATTTTAAACTTTTATTCTAATAAAAAAATATAAATAATTATTAATAAAAAGTCAATTAAATAAAATGATTATAAATTAAACTTTTCTTTTATTTTAAGCTATATGATAAGATTTAATAAATATAATTTGATAAGGGTGTGTAAGAAAATGACCCTAAAACATATTTCAAGGTGATCAACGGTATATGGAGAGGCAAACCAAGATTTTTGAGATAGAATGTTGAGTATTGGCTTGAGAGATATCACGTGATAACCACCATTTGGATATAGTCCAAACATCCCTCGTTTTGGTTATTATATAAAGCGTAAGGCTCTATTGCGCTGAAGCAAGCATTGTTGTAGTAGTGTTTGTGTCTCCACTTTTGCACAGAAAAATGGTGGTGAAGGTCTATGGTCCAGTGACGGCAGTTTGCCCTCAGAGAGTTATAGCTTGTCTCATTGAAAAAGATGTGGAGTTCGAAGTAATACATGTAGACCTCGACTCTATGGAGCAGAAGAAACCCGAGTTTCTCACTAAACAGGTAGTAATTAATTGAGTTCATGAGCTACTTATGCTTGAGTATTCTCTTTGTTTTTATATATTTATATTTGTTGCAAATATGACACTGCATGTGAAATGACTCATTCTGTTATTCTTTCATCAAGTGTATTATTTTGCACTTTGAGAGGATTTACCAAACAAACAACTTTACAGGAGGGAAAATATATTTATTTACCTGCATTCTTTTGCACTAATCACTTTTTCTTTTTTCTATTACCAGTTTTGCATCAATCAAAGAAGTGGCCCAACAATTTACAGGAGGGAAAATACACTTTCCATTGGCCTTATAAGTCCAGTCCTTGTTGTAGGAACATTGGACAAAGTTGAGATGGCCGGATTTTCAAAAATTTGAGGAAAAAAGGGTTGGAGAAGATAGAAAGGTTTGGACCCCGGAAGGGTTACACTATGCACCCTCCGGCGAGGGATCAACGTACCGTTGTTCCCTATGGATCGCCAATGAATTGAGAGAAAGGAGAGGAGAGAGAGAGACTGAAAGAGGACCTAGGAGAGAATGTTGTCAATGGTGTGAAAGGTCTAAGAAAGATTAGCTGAAGACAAAAACATACACACCTGACTGAATTATCTATCACGGTTGAATACGGCAGTGTTCAAGTACAGCTGGGTCCCAGATGGGGCTTACGGTGAGCAATGGTGTGTTCAATCGTGATACGTAGTTCAACCGGGTGTGTATAATTGTCTCCAGCTCATCCGGACTGCCAAGAAAGATGTGTCAACGGTGTGAATCAGCTTTCTATTAATTTCTTCCGTCTTTATTATTTTTAGTTTTTTATTTATCAAGTGGAGAGGTTTTGGAACCGTCCACGCCACATCAGACAATGTTGGCGATGGTTAAACCAAGTTTATGGTGATTTGTATATGTATGTTCTTAACCCTGCAAAAGAACATCGGGAAACTTGTCAATATTCCCTTGTACAGTGCAAAAGAACAAGATCTTAGTCCTGAACAGACAAAAATGAAACTAAGCAAGAATTTGCACTTCGTTATATTTGTGCGTGTGCAAATGAAATTGCACCTCAAACAAAGGAAGCCACAGAATGCCTAAAATTAACAATATTGAGACTCGGTTTTGGAAGTATTTCTAAACCTGTATTTGCAATATGTACGGTATAAATATATACAAAATAATACACAATATAAGGTTTTGCGCTCTACATATTTGCATTTGTACTCTTTCCAAATTCAGCCTAAGGGAGAATACAATCAGTATAACTCGACCCAACCCAATCCACCCAGTTTGGTTCATATCCATACATCTCGACCCAAATTCAGCCTGGTCCAATTTACTTCTTTTGATCTGCTTTGGGCCAATCAGTTCGGCTCCAAATCCATGCACAAACCTGATATGAGCCAACCCAAGTCAATCCACCATTGACTGAATCGGTCCAGCCTGGTCCGATTGGATTGAACCGACTTGATCGGGGTCTGGTCCGGCCGAATTGAACCGGTATAAGCCCGATCGGGTTTTTTCTTACCAGACTGAACCGGTTCAGGCGAGGTCTAGTCTGATTGGACTGATCCGGATTTAAACGGTTCAACCACTCTTGAACTCGAATACAGTCCAATTAGATAGTTCAAGTTGGTCTGACCGGTTTGAACCTATGTGGTTCATCAAATCCGAAACCCGAACATAGTTAAATAGCTTTGCTGCTTTTATAAAAATAACATGCATGTAATGTGATTTGAGCGTTCACCACTTGTGTAAATAGCAACTACTATTACCACTAAGCTATGACTAACTTATTTGCTAAAAAGGAGTTAGTTATTTTTTTTTAAGTACATAAATATAAGATTAATAAGTTTGGGCGGATTGGATTGGGTTAAAGCATGTTTGGGTTGAACCCAACCCATTTAATTTTATATAAATAGGTCGTTAACGGTTTGGCGAGTTAAATGAATTGGGTTGAAACTCAACCCAAACCAAACCCGAACCCACCCAATTGCCATCACTATCTAACTTGAGTTTTGTGATGTTTAATTTTATAGCCGTTTGGACAAGTTCCAGTAATAGAAGATGGAGATCTCAGGCTCTTTGGTAACATCAGAACCTCCAAATTAATCCTTCTATTAATACTAAGTGCACAAATAAATTTGGATTCTAAGTCTGTTTTATTGTACAGAGTCAAGGGCAATCATAAGGTATATTGCTGCTAAATATGCTGACCGTGGTCCGAATCTTCTTGGGAATACTTTGGAGGAGAAAGCAATGGTGGATCAATGGCTTGAAGTGGAAGCTCACAACTACAATGACTTGGTGTTCAGTATTGTATTTGAACTACTCATCCTCCCACGAATGGGTAAAGTGGGGGATAAGGCTTTCGTTTATACCTGTGAGCAAAAACTTGCAAAGGTGCTTGACATTTATGAGGAAAGGTTGTCAAAAAGCAAATATCTTGCCGGAGATTCCTTCACCCTAGCCGATCTCAGCCACCTTCCGGCAACCAGATACCTGACAAATGAAGCAGGAATGGGGCATCTTGTGAGAGACAGGAAGCATGTTAATGCATGGTACGAGGATATCACCAAGAGAGCTGCTTGGAAGAAAGTTGTGAATCTTATGAATTGATTAAATTGTAAGTTGTTCTACTCAAGGGGGGGGGG